GTGGGATGGTGGCTCAGAAGCCCCTCCCTCTGGGCCAGGAGCAGTGGGATGGTGGCTCAGAAGCCCCTCCCTCTGGGCCAGGAGCAGCGGGAGGGATGGTGACTGGGAAGCCCCTTCCTCTGGACCAGAAGCAATTGGACGATGGCTCAGAATCCCCTACCTCTGGGCCGGGAACAGTGGGACTCAGTACCTTGGTCTGGTGACCTCTGCGTCTTTGTAGTGTGGAATCAGGTGGCTGTCTGTCTGCAGCAGGGTGATTCAGTGTCTTCCGCGAGACTCAGGACCTCGGTAGGGCATGCACAGACCTGCCTGTCTGCAGTGGGCTGATTCGGCGTGTGTTCCCTGGGACTGGGGACCTTGGTAGGGTGTGGGCAGACCTGCCTGTCTGCAGCGGGGTGATTCAGTGTCTTTCGCGCAACTCAGGACCTTGGTGTAGGGCGTGCACAGACCTGCCTGTCTGCAGCGGGGTGATTCGGGGTGTTCTGTGCGACTCAGGACCTAGATAGGGCATGGGCAGACCTGCCTGTCTCCAGCGGGCTGATTCGGTGTGTGTTCCGCGTGACTGGGGACCTCCGTAGGGCGTGCACAGACCTGCCTGTCTGCAGCGGCCTGATTCGGTGTGTTCTGTGGGACTCAGGACCTGCCTGTCTGCAGCAGGCTGATTTGGCCTGTTCTGTGCGACTCAGGACCTCTGTAGGGCATGGGCAGACCTGCTTGTCTGCAGCAGGGTGATTAGGCGTCTTCAGCGCAACTGAGGATATAGGTAGGGCGTGCACAGACCTGCCTGTCTGCAACAGGCTGATTCCACTTCTTAATCCATTCTGTCAGTCTATTTCTTTTGATTGGTGAATTGAGGCCATTAACATTGATAGTTATAATTGATAGATATTGACTCATCCTTGTCATGGTGTTTTTGCTGTTGTTGGCTCTTCTATTTATTTTTTTCCCCCTTTCCCTGTAGTTTCTTACATTGCCTGGTGGCTTCCCTCTGTTGGGCCTCATGGAGTTGTGACCTTTAGTGTCTTTTTCTAGGATAATTGCTTAGAATTGTTTGGAGTGTTGGTTTGGTGTTCATGAAATTTCTCAGGTGTTCTTTGTCATGAAAGTATCTAATTTCCCCATCCGATTTTGAAAGGTAACTTTGCAGGATACAACAGTCTAGGTTGGAAGTTATTTTCTTTTAGGGCTTGAAATACTTCACTCCAGGCTCTCCTTGATTTGAGGGTTTGTGTTGAGAAGTCTGCCATGATTCTGATGGGCTTTCCTTTGTAGGTGATTTGTTTCTTTTCTCTAACTGCTTGCAGGATTTTGTTCTATTGGGTTTCTGGGATCTTGACTATTGTATGTCTAGGTGTAGATTTTTTTTGATCATGGCTAGTTGGAGTTCTATATGACTCATTTATCTGTATATCCAATTCTCCACCTCTGTCTGGGAAGTTTTCTACTATTACTTCTGTGAACAGTTTTTTTGTTACGTCAGTTGTACTTTCTCCTGTTTTTTCATGGACTCCTCTATCAGTCTTATGTTATTCTTCTTTGCATCATCTAGCAGCTGCTGGATTGATTTCTCATTGTCCCTTACAGTTTTTAAGAAATCTCTGTTTTCATGGTCCTTAACTGCAATCCAGTCTTCTATATCTGATAGTCTATCTTCAGATTCTTTTAATCTGCTCTGCATGCTTTCAGTGGAGTTTTTTATCTCCTGAATATCTGTTTGAATCTGTTTCAGGGATTCCATTTCTTTCTTATGTTGGGTGATCATGGTTTCCATTTCTTTCTTATGCTGGGTGTTCATGGCTTCCAGCATGTTTCTGATCTCATCTATTTTTTTTTTATCTGTTTCTGTTCTACAGCCCTCTAATCATGTCTTTCACTCTGCTCACCATCTCTGTTATCTGGGAGATTATTTCTGCTTTGAATTTTTCTAGAGCCTCATTCATCTGTTTTGTTACTTCCTGTGGTATCAGTTCAGGGTCTCCAGGTGGTTGATTATCAGTCTTTTCTACCTCATTTCCCCCAGAATTTGCCTTTTGTGGTGTGGAAGCCTGAGTTTGTGCCTTGCTTAATTGTCTTCTCATTTTTGGTTTTGGTACTGTCCTTGGTTGAATTCCTGGGTTGATACTTCACAATTGCTTATTGTAAGTATCTTTGTTGCTTGTGTTTAGAACCCTTGTGGAATGAGTGCTTTTCACAGGTGTCTTCCATGTATAGCTGGTCTTTAGGTTTTGAGACTCTAATGACTGAGGCTGTCTCATTTTCATTATACCAGGAAGGCAGTCCAACATCTTAGCCCAAATGATACAATCAGCAGTACCATAGCATCAAGCACAGCTTAGAAAATGATAATTTGTGGTAGTTATTAATCTATCACATTTAACTGTGTGAATTAAATATATGTTTATAGTGAATAAACTCTTCAGTATAGCAACTTTACCCTTTGGGATGGGGATTTAGAAGGAGTTGGGGAGAGAGGGACAGATAGGTAGAAGGATCAGGAAAGGTTAGCGGTGAGGCCAGAAGACACCAGAAGATCATGCAAACTCTACGAAACTGTTGAAGGCAAGAGGAAAAGGTAGAATGAAAGAACAAAGACGTGAACAGAACCACCTAATAGCAATAGGAAGGCTAGATACTATATTTACTTTCCTTTAAAACTAATGATAATCGAGAGAAGGAAAAAGAGAAAAGAAAAATAAAGGAGAAATCTGAATTCAGTCCAGAAAGGAACAAAAAGGGAGATGAAGTGCAATGTGGGACAGCAAGAGAACAAGTGACAGAGAGAAAGAAAAGAGAAAAGAAAGAGAAAAGTAAAACTTAAATTAAGAATTAAAAATAAAACTTTTTTCTTTTTTGCAAATAACAAAAAATAAAAATGAAAGGCCTCCTTCAAGGTGTGTCTCTGCTGTCACAATAGACAATGTGGGCAGCCATGTGCAGATATAAGTCAATGAGTCTCAGCAAGCCAGTAGCAGACCGGTAAGATTCAGGCAGATTTCTGGCTGCTAGTCCCAAGTTGAGCTCCCTGTCCTCCTGCAGGGTTGAACTCTGCCAGGTTCTACTGCAGGTTCCAGCTGTGCTTCCCCTGAAGATAGTCCAGGTTCCCATGGGAGGTGGTGATCCCTCCCACTTACCGAGTACGGTGGTCTGGTGTGCCTTTATTGCAGAGATTCTTTTCACTTTTCCAGTGGGCTTCAGTTTTCATCAAGGAGCCTGAGCGAGGCCCTCTTCCTGTTGCTAACGTCTGCTCTATCTTGTGGAGCGCAGGACAAGGGCCTTTATGATCCCCTGTGCCTCTGTAATGTGGAACCAGGTAGCAGCAGAGCCAGGAGGCCAGAGGGGGTTGGGGCTGGGGACGGGACTGGGCCCTGCAGACGCCCACGAGGCTAAGCGGAGCACAGGTTCAGAGCAGGGGCTCCAAGCCACATCGGGGTCCTCACCCTGCAGTGGGTGGAGCCTGAAACGGAGCGGAGGCTTCACGCTGCCCGAATCCTCAGCTTCCGCTGGTTGGTCACATTGTGTGGAGTTGGGGGCTCTAAGCTGCACTGGAGTCCTCCTATATAACTGTTTCTCTACCATTGTTCTGTATTTATAATTTCAAAAAATCCTGAGACATCTTTGTGCAAATCCGTGGTTCCCTCTTCCGGTGTTTGCAGTGAGTCTAGGAGGTGGATCACCTGAACCCAGTCAGTATTGTGGCCAGAGAGGGTTTCCTGCACATGCACACACAGCAGCCGTGGGCCTGCATCCCTGGGTACCATCAGTCGTCAGAAACAGGACTTAGTAACGTGTTGATATTTACTCCATTGATTTTTTTTTTTTACTAAGATTTTGGTTATTGAAATTTTGTACAAGGGTTAGAGAAATGACATTTATTTACTTCCTTTTTTTGTTTTTCCCTAGATATTCTCTAAGTGGTGGAGGAATGTCATCCCACTGAAATTCCTTTGGCATTCGGGTCTTGTTTTTCCTGTTTTCTTCTTCATCCTCCTTCTTCTTAAGAGTCAACGAGAGCCTTTGCCGACTGCCAAACAGGCGCCAGCAAGGGAACGGCGTGACAGGGGACACAACTGCACCACGTCCTCACACACTGGAGCCACACGAAGTCTCTCACATGGGGCGGGGAGGGTCAGCTCTTTCAAGTGTTTGTTTTATTTTTTTATTGTTTTTTAAATTTTAACCATAGTGCACATATTCGAGGAAAGTATCTTTAAAAACAAAAACCAACCCTGAAATGTATATTTGCGATTCTGATCAGGCAACTTAAGACATGAAACCTCAGGTATCCTGCTTTACGTGGCTCGCTCCCCCGGGGGACGGAGACGTGCCCTGGCGGATGGGTGTACAGAGTTGTATATAGTGTCGTTTTCGCAGAACCCTCTGGCGTGCATGCATAAGGATCACTGTGCACACGCTGGCCAAGTGCTTCTGTAGATAATGTCCGTGGAGTAAATATTCAACAGGCCATAACTTGAGTCTATTGCCTTGCCTTTATTACATGTAAATTTTGAATTCTGTGACCAGTGATTTGGGTTTTATTTTGTATTTGCAGGGTTTGCCATTAATAATAATTAATGCCCCTCTTACAGAACACTCCTCTTTGCACCTCGACAAATGCAAATTCTTCTCATTTGCCCTATACTCTTTTGGTACACGTAGAAGTTGATTTCCTTTTTCATTGATGGTACTATTTCTTAGTGTTTAAATTGGATCATCTGTTGCCTCATGAAGCTTTAAATTATTATTTTAAGTTTCTCCCAGATGAAGTGCTCTTGTCTCACTTTTTTTTGGATTCATGCCACTGCCCATCTGTGCCTGATGTCTTGTCCTGTCCAACACAATTTTCTGTTGCACCTTGTAGTGGAATCTGCATATCATCTTGCCCACCTAGCAGTGTCTGGATGCTTACACGAATAAATTTTATAACACTTGTTTTGCATACTCTTCTTGACACATGACTCTGTAGTGGACAGATCTGCTGTTAGTGTGGTTGTGTGTGTGTGTCTCTGGTGTGAGGCATCTCAGAAAACTACAGGGAAGCCGCAGATGTTAGAAGGCTGAATGTCCTGGTCAGCAACCTATGCAACTTGTGTGATTGGTCACTGAGAAACTGTGATTGGATAGCGCCCATTTGTAAAATTGCTGTACCTCTTGCTGGAACCTTAACAGGTGGTTTTAGTTCACTTACAGGGGGCCTAGGTCTTGTTAGTGCAGTCAGCCAGGGTATCTGTTTTCCTTCGCTTGCTGCAGGGCATTGCTTGGCAGGGCGGGAAATCTGTGGGTTTCTGGGATGGGAAAGGGTTCTTATAGCAATTCTTGACTGTCTTATTTGGGTATTTGTAGCATTTTATATTTTTTGATGTTCATCGCTGTCGGTGCTTGTTGGAGTGCTGGTTCTTAAGGAGGAAGACAAAGATTTTGGGAAGCAAGGAAGTTACTGAACTTTGGGAAGTCAGCTCGGCCATCTGCTGGTGCGCCGGGCCCATAGGGGACAGGGACGGGCAGGGCTGGAGGGCAGGCCCGGCCAGAGGGGTTGGTAGGGGGAGGGACTGGCTATTGATTGGTTAAGAAAGTCGATGGTTTTTAGACTATTGAATGATGGTATTTTATCAGAAGTGGATTTGGGTTGGATATTAATTTCTATAAGAGATACCTCTTAGTTAACAGAAATAGAACTGAATAACTGTCTGAACTTTCTACAGCAAGAATGTTACCTTGAACAATACAATTTGAGAATATTTCATTTCTTGTTTCTAGAGTATTCTGTATCAGAGCAGTATGCATCTTCCTGAATGAGGCATAAGCCAAAGGCCATTTGGTCCGTTGCAGGACAAAGACTCACTTAGGCCACCGTACTCTCCGGAGTGTGCTGCTCTTGGATTTAGGAGCAGGAGTGCAGGCAGCAGCTTTTCCGACTGACAGAGCTTTTCACATTTACAAGTGGACAGCGATGTGACTCTGGATATTTAGGCCAGTTTTTCTTTTTCTTTTTAGTGCTAGGGATGGAACTTGGGCTCCATATATGCCAGGCAAGCACTAAGCTCTCCCTAGCCCTTTAAGCCAACTTTACATACTAGTAACTGTGGTTAGTGCTAGGTAGACTAGATCCTAACTGAGCACATGGTGAGTGGTCAGTGCCTTCTGTACAGTCCCGAGGCCATGGTAATATATAGCTCCACCCCCTCAGTAAAAGCAACAAATGATAAATTGGCATATGGGTTGGGGCAGGTACCAGAGTGTCAGCTGAACCTGCTGGACAATGCAAAGTGCCGTGGGCCTTCAGGGTGACCTGTGGGCCCTGGATCTGAGGATTTGGTGTCACTCCAAAGCCACTCAGTGCCAAGCCTGAGCTGGAATGGCCCATGCTTATGCAGCTAGGTGGGAAAGTGACCACAGACTGCAACACTGCAGTGTGACCACTGTGGTGACCATGTCTGTATGGCTCATGCCTTTGAAGTTGCCTTCCTGTGTCCCAGCTGGCAGGACCGTGAGGTGGATCGGTGGGGTGGGTTGGGATGCTGCTTGGCCACCTCATGGCCAGGCTTAGTCTCAATGGAACCAAGTGCCACTGCCTTCGAAACCATGCGTCTTGTTCCCCAGATGCTCTTGTCAAGTGTGTAGTTTGGTTCTCCGTGAAGTATTTTGTATCTTTCCTTTGGCAAAACGTGATTGATTTATAAGCATTTTTATATTTCCTTCCTCAAAGAAAACATGGCTTCTGTATTTCTGCTGCTAGATATGGTGATGAAGACAGAGGGCACTGAAGGGCTTGGTTTGGAGCACTTGTAATCTGTCATGCAAGGGTCAATAAAGCTCTCAGAAAACGGTTCTTCCTGAAATTGTGTCATGTGTGTGCAGGGTGTGTCTGACGTCCTCCCTTCTGAGCAGGTTGCCCACGTTATTTTCATAGTTTTCCTGTGCTGCTCATAGGTGCGAACCATTCAGAAATGCTCAAGTTGAGACCTCCTTGTCCCCAAGCCTTCCGGACTTCTGGAAGGGGTGTTCTCCTGATACTGCTCGGCCACCTTGGGTCCCTGGCATTTGCCTGAGTGGGAGACTTCTGAGGGGACTGTGGTCTCCAGGGGCTGCCCCCCTGCTCCGTCTCCTCGCTTTCCTGTCTGTTCCTAGGCTGGCCAGACCTCTCCCCAGCAGCCGGCTAGAATGTGCTATCTCCTGGCACCGTATTTCTTGGGTGTTATCTTCAAGTGCTTGTCCTTTCCCCCGTCATGCCCACCCACCACGCCCTCCTCCCACCACACGCACACACACGATGTAAATAAAGACGAGACAAGGCTGCTTTAGCTTTGCCTTAAAACTTCAATATGCTGGATTGTGGCGTGAGGTATTTTTATTCCCTTTTGTTAGTACTGAAAACCATCTGGTACATATTGTAAGGCAAATGATTAACACGTCTCAAGCTCCTCATCTCATGGTAAGTCGTGGACAACAGCCGCAGCTCCACGACATCAGTATCCCTGTCTCGGGCTAAGTTGGCTTCCCCCTTGGGGGCATAGGGTGCTGGGAGAGAACTGTGCTGAGTTGGGCAACTGGAGTTAAGGGCTTAAGAACACTAAGGGAACGACAGCCACCTGGTTGTCACAGAGGACAGACAAAAGTTTGCATTTGAGGGCCCAATAGGGTTCCCGGTGAAGTCTGTCCCGGAGGTGCAGTGTCCTACCGCTGATTCCCCATGCCTGGGGGGGGTGAGTAAAAAGAGGAAAGACTTTTGCTTTGAAGACAGGCACAATAGACACTACTAGAGAATACGCAGTTTCAAACCACTGCAGCAGGAAGAGGTGGATCTACTCGGGGTGGGCAGGACTACGTACCGTGACTGTATGATGCTTCTGCATCCACGAAGCTCACACAACCCCTTCAACAAAATAGCACGAACGGCTCTGGTCAGTGACATACAGGTTCTCATGCGTGTGAAACAGCAAACACCACAGCATACGATTTCCCCACATACACACCACCACTCAGTACAGCTCAATGGTCAGTCCTGGAATTGCACTGGGTCTGCCTCTGAACAGAAGACACCTGCTACCGTCTGTAAATAGTAATCACTTCAACAAGCGGGTCTGGTGACAAGAGTGTCGCTGGAGCAAGAAACCCCTCGGCCAAACGGAGTGCATTGCCGGTCACTTATTAGTCAAGGAGAGTGTGTCCTACGAACCTCCTATTATTATAAAAGTAGAAAGATTGAAAAAACCGAAATCTGAAAATGATCTCTTGCTTAAGACTGCGCCATGTATGTCGAGATCATTGGAAAATCCATTTTTTTAAAACAGCAGCCCACGGATGAAAATCAAAGTCCTTTTTTAAGAAAAAGAAGAGCACTTGCCCTGTCTTCGGTTGAACGGACGCATGTGCACGGTGTTCAGGGTGCAGTTGGGAGGGAAGAATGTCATTTGGCACTCTGCATGACAATGTCTCAATACTGGCACAAGCTGAGGAACAGCCCCGGGGATGACGGCGAGGCCCCCGGCCCGGAGGTGGAGGCTCCTGCTCCAGTGACAGACATGGAAGAGGACAAGCCCAGGACAGGCGCCCGCGGAGGGAGATGGGAGAGTTGCTGTAAAACCACATTTTGTCCGGACAGGAGTGAGTGCGTCATACACAAGGGAAACGTCTTTCAGTAAAGCAGCCACAGGCGGGCAGCTGTTGAGGGGTCCAGCTGTCAGTACATGTGCGATTCTTTGTGACTCAGAAGGTGGGCCCGAGAGGCTGAGCTGGTGGCGCTCCGGATGACTTCCATCCACCTGAAATGGGAGAGTCCGGGAGTACCTTGGCCACTGTATAAACCCATGCCCGATTTTTCTTGACGTGTGCACCACCATGACACTTGGCAGTCACCCCTTACAAACATGGCGTGAGGAAGGGCTACCGGCTTTGTACCTGGCCACTTCAGAAGAGTTGTAAATGAATGAGGACTCAAGCAGAGGGTTACAGAGGAATGGTTTGAGAACCACTGCCCTGGGCTGTCAGGGTGTAGGGATCTGGAAGTTTCAGTCAACCTTGAACAGTTGAGGTTGGTGGCTTTTGTCTGTGGGGGACATGGCTACCTACGGATCCTTTTCGGGGGCCCTTTCGAGAGCACCGGTCCATGCTTGGTGGAGGTTCCATTTTATAGTAAGCCAGTGGCTCTCGACTTGGGACCAGGGCACCATACATTTGGTGGTCTCGGCAGAGGGGGTACCACTGGCTTCTAGTGGGTGGCAGCCAGGCACGCTGGTTCCCGATGTACAACACCCAGGACCACTTGCCCAGCCCCGAGCTAGTCTTAAGAGCTCAGTAGCACTGAGGCCAGGAGAGCTTGCATTTGGCCAAACTGCCCACCTTCCCCCCGGGCTCCTAGCATCTCTGACAACAGGACCCAACTTGGGTCAAGCCAGCTCGAGCGAAGCTCCTCAGCCTGCCTGATCCTGTTCAGGATCAGGTCTGGGAATCACCATCCCGTGGGCTCACTCTGCAAGCAGTGCTGCCCAGGAACTGGTGTTTTGTGGGTATCATAGGAGTTTTACATACACCATGGTCTCTTTTTGTGGGATTTACGAGGGATTGTGCGCAGTCCCTAACAGGTTCCTTATGGCACCAGTACCAGGGAGGAACAGGTTACTGCCCTGTCTGCTCCGTAGCCTGAGGACCTTGACCCCCGGGGACAGCAGCTTTCAGGTTTGCTCTGAGGTACAATTCCCAGAGGCTTGGAATTTCTACTTGAAATGTGAATTTTAGGCACAGCGTCAAGCTCTAGCTCAGACTCAGTAGCCTGGCTCTTTATATTTCACTCTTCTCAGCTAAATTAAGGCCCCTGTGCTTAGGTCTCATACCATGCAGGTAGGTACAGTAATAAAGGAACCCTGAAAAACAAGGGACCCCTAAGAGCCGAGCCATCATCCCTCCTTCATGTGGCCCTAAGTGCCATAGTGGTGGTGTGCGCTAGCCATAGGGCAGGAAGGCCTGACGCCTGTCCCCAGGAACTTGGGGCTCCACTGGCCTCCAGGGGGACAGCTGAGGTGTGTACTGGTGGCAAGCAGAGGCCCTGGGTTTGAGGGCAGGCAGGGAGGGGCGTCTTCCTGCAGGGACACCTACCTTTCAAACGTGTACTCGCTTTCGGCCCTGAAGTAGTACACGTGGGACTTGAAGTGCAGCTTGAACACGTAGTCCTTGTGGATGTTCTCAGACTCCGAGGGGATGGTGAGCGAGTATCCGAGCAGAGGCAGGCTGGCAAGGGGATGATTGTCCTGCAAGGGCATAGGGGTGACCCTGGAGAGGCAGCTTGGGCCCTGGCTGACCCTCTCCCGGTAGCGATCCTGGGAGCCCAGGTGTCTCCACCTGTGGGCTCAGGGACTGGGAGGAAGTAGACCATGGGCAGCTGGTCCTGGCCAAGCGGCAGCCGGGTGCCCTTTCAAGGCTGCCCTTCGGGAAATGGACAGTGTCAGCCTTCACTGAGCAGAGGGCCTCTGCTGAGGTGGCCTTCCCCACAGAGCCAGAGCAGGAACCCGTAACACCCACTTTCTCTACACCTGGCAGGCTAAGCAGCTCTGGCTCACGGGCAAAGTCCTTTGGGCCTTCAAAGCTGCTGCCTGCCAGAGAGTGCAGGTACTGCACGGGGACACTGGAGCTTCACCACTCTGCCCCGGGCACACAGTTACCTTAGGCCCTTTCCCAAGAGCCACGTGGCAGGGCCCAGCCACCCACCTGGTGCGACTTGTAGAAGAACAGGCAGAAGTTTGTGAACACCACCCACAGCTTCTGCCACCCGTTGCTGTTTTTGAATTTCCTCAGCAGGTTCCCAGACAGCTGGTTCTGAAAGACAAGTGGGCTGGTCAGGAGCACAGAGCAGGCTCCAGCAGTAGTGGGACGATATGTACCCTGGTTCTGGAGCAGGCTTCCTGTGCTGAGGCACCTTGTAACTTAAGAACAAGAGCCCCACTGGTCCCTGGCACACGAAGCTAATGGACCATATGAACTAGATTTGACTAATTGTCACCCATTATGGGTGAAATTGTGTCCCCTAACCCCCAAGAGGGTTCAGAACGTGACCTCATTTGGAAGTAGGGTGGTCGCAGGTATAATCAGTTAAAATGAGGTCACACTGGGGAAGGTGGGCCCTTTATCCAATGTGAGTGACGTCCACAGCAGAAACACCCAGGGAGGACGCCATGTAACATTTCGGGCAGAAGCTGGAATGACACGTCCACAGCCAACACCAAGGATTGCCATCGGACAAGGAGAAAGAGGCAGGGCAGGGTCCCCACAGGTTTCACAGGGAGCCTGGGCGGCCAACACTGATTTTGGGTATTGGCCTCCCGAATAAATTTGTTCTAAGCCACCCAGAAATGATCCAGTGCCCTGGACAGCAAGGATTAGTCATCTTTCGCAAGCAGCTCCTGGCTGCCACCTAGTGGCCAGGGCCGGAAGCCACGCTCTTCCACGTACTGCTGGCCTGTCCTCCAGGGCCCCTCCATCTAATCCCACATTTCCCTATGGAAACGTCTGAATGAGGCCAGACCTGGGGCAGCTGCAATGCGTGCACAGGCAGCTCTGATGGGAGTGTCAGCACGGGGGAAGATGTCCCCAGCAGCTTTAAGAGGACAGAAGAGGCCCGTCCACCTCATTACAAGTTGTCACTCATTCAGTCCTTTTGCCAAGTGTCACTTGTTCAAGTCCTTTTGACATGACTGGGGGACTCTCCAAAGAGGTGGGAAGTCTACTTCGCCCGATAAAGACTCATATGCCCAAAGGCCCCCAGCTAGGAGTCGAAGTGGAAAACTTAGATGTTTCTGCCCTCCAGTCTGACAAGGAAAGGAAGCAGAAGTGAATGTG